ACTCAAGCTCATCTACCGACACACTGAAACTCTCTACTGAAAGTCTGAGATACAAACACCGACTCGCCCCGAGTCGAATAAAACCAAAGCAGGCAAAGAGTTTACTAAAAACGTACCTAAACACAGGTACCACTGATAAGCATAACACAAATACAATAATTGAAACAGAAAATAGAAACATACCAGCAACCACATCCGGTGCTGCCTTGGCCTCCTCGACCGTGAGCTGGAAGGCGCGCCCCTGAGCCTTCGGAGGCTCCACCTTGACTGGCCTCCCATCGCCCATCCTCAAAGTAGCCGGTGCGGATCCCTGCGCCGGCTTGGCGGCGAGCTGCGGACAGTTGGTCTTCACGTGACCAACCTGATGACAATGGTAACAAATCCTCATATATGCTGGAGGGGCGGACTGACGACAGTCCATGACATAGTGCCCCTCCTTGCCACATTTGTGGCAACCACCTCCTGCTCGACAAACCCCAGTATGACCCCTGCCACACTTTCCACAAGTGCGGCTCTGCTGACCCCCAGTCCGAGTATCAGCGGTCTTGGACCGCTTAGGTGCCGGCTGAGGCTGTGCCGGAACCTGACGCTGCTCCTTCAACTGCAGCTCTAAATCCAACTCGCGCCGCCTCGCGGCTTCCTGAAGATCCAAAAGAGTCTCACAACGTTGCGTAGCAACAAACTGTCGAATATCAGTCTTGAGCATACTCAGATAACGAGTCATCTGAGACTGCTCTGAAGCAAACTCTGGGCAAAACATAGCCCTCTCCGTGAACATACGAGTGATCTCCATCACTGACTCCCCATCCTGCCTCAATGTCAAAAACTCATGAGCAAGCCACTCCCGCTCGACGCGTGGAACGTAGCGGGTGCGGAACATATCTCGGAACTGCTCCCAAGTAACATCAGCTCACTGATCATTAGTGTACGACCCTGTCGTCAATCTCCACCAGTCCTTTGCCCCAAGCCTCAGCAGGTTCAGGGCACACCTGACCTTCTGGTCAGCAGGACATGAACACGTGAAGAAACAGCCCTCCACGTCAGATAACCACCTCATAGCCCTGATCGCATCCTGTGTACCATCAAACGTCGGGGGCTTCGTGTTATCGAAGTCCCGGTACTGGAAAGCCCTGTCGACTCCTCCTCCAACCCCTGCCGCGGTTACAGCCGATGTGGCTGCAGCGGCAGCTGTCTCTGCTAGAGCTGCATATCGCTCATCAAAGTACTCAACCATCGTGGTCTTAATCGACCCAAACATCTCTGGCAGCTGCGCTCGAAACGCTGCAGTAATCTTGTCGTACAGAATCTCCCGGATCCTGGCATCCAACTCCTCTGTCCCTATCTGTACCACGGGCTCAGGTGCTACCGGCACCTCCGACCCTCCGTCTCCCGATCCTGATCCTGACCCGGATCCAGTAGTAAAACGTCTCGTCACCACCATACTAAAAATATAACCAAGACGTCAGATAAGCAACATATATCGGGAGACCAATTCCCACCACCCTAGGGGTTGTGACTTCCTTGCTACGCGTATGGGTCCTGTGCTTTCAGTAGTACGGGCCCATACTACCTTCCGAATCTACCCATATTTGTCTCAAGTATCACCACAACACCCTAATACTATCATCAACATAATATGCGCTCAACCCTCACTCCTAGGGGAATATCGACTATCTCGCCACTGGTCTCACAGCTTTCACAACTCACACATCCATGAAACTTTCACCAACCCTGTAGCACTAGTGTATGCTAGCCACACATAACGCTGGACCCGATAGACTTTCGAATATCCAATCCTACACTAAGGTCGAATCAGACATTCTCAGGCTATAAGATCTTGGTTATATACAACCGTGATGTATACACTAAACACCTACAGTTATGATGTCAATTCCATATACAAGAAACCCTAGGCTAGTAGGTATCATATAATCAGGCAAGTCTATCATGCGATTCCTGAAGATTCCTAGCCTAACACTAGCATGCTGTTCTATCATATCATAATATCAAATAACTGTATGGTATTTTGGGGTTTACTTGCAAGCTCCGGCTGATCGTACCCTCTGCATCCTCCATCCTTTATTTTGAAAACCATTTTAGAATTTATTCTGAAAATTCCCTTGATTTGAGACCGGGTTCACACGAGTGTTTCCCCCAATTCACTCAAACCAAGGCTCTGATACCAACTTGTAACATCCAAAAATTTTACGCCAAATTTAAACTTTTTCAATCACAAATAAAACCAGATAGTATTTGTTTACAAAAATGTTTTCAATCATTATTCATCAGAGTGTCCCAATAACCAGATCATAAGGATGAGGAGTGGTACGGTCACGCCTTCGCCTTGCCATGATCTCCTGAAGTACCTGATACAATAAACTGAAAACTGTAAGCCCGAGGGCTTAGTGAGCTACCCCCCCAAAATACCAATACCACACCGATAATACCATATCAGTAACAGACAATCAACAACATGCATACTGGGCCATCGGCCTGACTGGACCGCCCTGCGGGGCCTACAGTCTATTTGAATCTGTCCCGAGCCTTCGGCATAACTGGACCGCCACGTGGGCCTACAATCTCCCCGGACCGCTCATAGGGTATGTTGGCGTTCAACACAAAGCAGGACCGCCTCAACCCAAGCAACAAGCAAATAACCATGTGCGCATACCTAACATATAATGGCATATACAAGCATCAAACATATCTATCTCACTGATCACCAATCATAGCAATCTCTCGTAACTAGAGCACCGACCTAGCAGGTCACTAACATATCAATCCCTACGGATCATAAGAGCATAACATACTGTTTATCCTGATTCTGATCTAACAGGTCATAACCACATGTAGCATACCATAACAATAACAACTAAAGGGCCGACCTTGGTGCCTTAGACCCTATCGATATAGTGAGGATAACTCACCTTGCAGATGTCGACTTGGTGGATAAACTTCAACCTCAGATCACTGCCACAAACTCCACCACCTATTACCATAGTATAACCATACTGTAAGTTCTCAACCTCTCAAGGTACCCCATTAGTCAACTAGTCAACCTTTGGTCAAAGTCAAAGTCATCAGTCAAGGTCAACAGTCCATGTTGACCCTAACTTGCCGAGTTCCATGAAATACCTGACCACTCGTCGAGTCACCGGAGTGACTCGTCGAGTTCTAAGGCTCGCGATTGGAACTCTAAGGCCACTCGTCGAGTTTTCCTTCTTGTGACTCGACGGTTGCACACGCATACATAAATTGGGGAAACCTCAACCGACTCGCCGAGTTGTTCATCCACTCGTCGAGTCTACGACAATCTTCATCGGACTCGCCGAGTTGTTCATCCAACTCGTCGAGTTCAATGCCTATCTTCATATGACTCGCCGAGTCGACTATGCGACTCGCCGAGTCTCTTCAGCCCTTTAACCATGCAGACACTTTCTAAGCCATGCCCAGGCCCCAAATTGCAGATCCAACTTCCTTAGGCATGCTTATCACGTAAAGTTTCAAACTTTACGTGCATGCAAGGCTTTAAGACCCTAAAATGGCACAACTAAGCTTGCAATGAAGTCACATCCTTGAGAGAAGGCTCATACTAGACAAGGCTAATGACTTTATGAATATAGAAGCCGAGGGGAGTCCAGATTTGAAGTTACAACTTCAAATCTTGGCTTAGACACAAGAATCCTTTCCTAAACTTATGTACAAAAGGGTTTAGGAGAAAATGAGCCAAGGGAAAAATGATTTAATACCTTCAAGAGAGCCCTTTCTGATGCAGAACTTGAAACCCATAAGCTCTTGCTTCAACTAGCTTGCTTCCCAAGAGATTCCCTCACCAAAAATCTTCCTCCAAGATTAAATTTCCAAAGAATACACACACACTCGAGTTAGGGTTCTTCTGGATTCTCCATGGACTGCAAAGAGGCCAAAGGAGGCTTATGCTTCTTTAAATAGGGTGCAAAACCCCGGGATTTAGGGTTTCATCTGCCAGCTCTTACTCGTCGAGTCCCTTCTTGGACTCGGCGAGTAGGCCACTAAATACGCGAACCAACCCGCTGCTACTCGAGGAGTAGGGCAACCAACTCGTCGAGTAGACCTTGAAACCAATTAAATTCTTATTTAAACAATACCCGAGAATCGGGGCGTTACAAAAACGCTAGCTATTTTGTGAAGATCTTGAGCATTTTGAGTGAGTTTTTGTGTATTGTGAAGAAGGAACCCATTAAATAAGCATTGGTGAGCTTGGAGCTTGAAGATCCAGAACTTCCATCCCATTTGTAAGCCTTAGAAGGTATAAAGCTTTAAACCTTTATGATTCCTTGGCTGAGATCTAGGTTAGCTTAGAGTTTTGCATGCTTTTGGTCCCATAGTTTTGGTTCTTGTGAGTAAAAGCTAGTCCAAAGCTTATGGTTGTCATATTTTGTCATTTCTAAGGATTTTAAGTCATAAAAATGGGAACTTGGACACTCGCATTCTTCCTTGCATGAGATCTTAGACCTTGGAGTGTATTTTGGATCTAGAGTTTGATTTTATGCTCTTTTAAGCCATGCAAAAGCTTAAAGTCAACACCTTTATCAGTTAGGACATTCCTTAGATTAAGATCTGAGAGTTGGACGTTTAGTCTTTAAGAATTAAGGACTTAATGGGGAAGTATATGAAGTAGAGGGTTACGCAGGGCGTAACCTTGGGGTACGCAAAAGTTACACAATGCGTAGCGTACCCCTGCCCCGTTCTCTGTGGAAAGTCGGTACACATGGCGTAGTGAAGGAGTACGCATGGCGTACTCCCAAAAGGGGAAATGGGTCATTTTTAGGGCTTGAGCCATGTTTGGTTGTGATTGACTTGAAAAAGGTATGGTCTTTTATCCTACTAACCAATATCAACCAAAACAATTAACTGATTAAAATCATAAACTAAAATTAGTTATAACAAATAACCAACTGTTAACCAACCGGATCATACAAAGGACAATAAAATAAATAAAAAAAAAATAAATAAATAAAATGACGCCGGTTTTGCGGTTTTCTCTAAAAGCGATAAAACGATGCCTTAACGGGGACGTAAGCTGAACGGCGAAGACAGCACCGTCTAACAAGCTTAACGCACGTAGCAATTTGTGAAGAGAGATCCTAGTGGCACTTGTACACAACCTTCCCTCTTTGCACTTTAACATCAACAATTGCTTCATACGTTAGCATCGTAGATCTGTGTTTTGCTTGATTCTCGCAGCAAAAGGTCACTGATATTGCCATTATTTCTTTCTCTTTATATTTTCATCCTTTGACTTCAGTTGCTAAATCTACTGTTTTTCTAGGGTTTGTTTTGTCGTTCGGCTTCATCCATGGATTCTTCTTCAGGTTCGGAATTCGATTATTTGTTCAAATTGTTAATGATTGGGGATTCAGGAGTTGGTAAAAGCAGTCTTCTCTTGAGTTTCACGTCTGATACCTTTGAAGAACTTTCTCCTACGATTGGTAAATCGCTCCCTTTTCTCTTTACTTGCAATATCTTCTAGTTACTGTGCTTTTTCTTTCTCCTGTTACTTGCAAGTTTCTCATTTGTAGGATTCAAAGCGGCCTGTATCTGTGTGTAACATAGTTTGATAAAATAATGAATATTTCTCTTTTTTCTGTAAACGTGAGATCAATAGCTCAACTTGTTTCCTGGTCTTATTTAGGGTGCAACTTAAGATGGCTGTTCTCCCATGAATTCTCATAAGATGTTACAATAAGATACGTAAAGTATTGAAAGACTTACTTGATTAGTTGAGTTAATGAATTATTTCATTAACAAACCTAAACATTCTTCACAAACCAATTGCAGTTTGCAAGTATTTCCTTTTGTGGAGATGTCTCAGTTGGAGTTGGTCTTTTAGGGCCTATGTACTTCCTGGTGCTCAATGTGTAAAGATCTGGATCTTACACTCTTACCTTAAAGCCCACAATTCAAAAAGCAAATAGGTATTCGAAGTCTTAAAGGGGATTGCTTAATATCATGATTGGTTCGTGAGTCCACTAGAAGCAATTTGAGGGAAAAATTCACAGTTTCTGTCACTTGTTAGGATGGGTCTGAGATGTTTTTTAAATGTAAAAGATTTCCTATGTCAGGTCAATTGGATCTCCAGTTTCTTTGTTTGTTTTCAATTTCTCCAGACTCCAATGTCGATGAATAGGCCTTTAAGGCTGCATCTGTTACATGGGACAAAACTGCATGGAACTTAATTGGACTAGACTGGGGAGAGGGAGAGAGAGAGATTGCAAAATTTTGTTCTTTTCTGCATAACAAACAAACAGGCCTAACCTAATAATAGTCTGTGAGCTGTTGAGAGAAAGGCTTAAAAAGTGTGGCATGCATGATTTTGTAATCTGTTGTTCTCATATAGATATAGAAGTCATGTATTTGTAAAATCAGAGGGTTCTACTACGAATTACAAAATGAATGCGAGTTAAGCAAAGACCGAGTCATGAGTCATGTCTAAATATCAGCAAGGATAGTTTGATGTTACCTTTACTTGGCAGTTGATGTACCAGTTTTCTGCCTTAGACTAATGAAGCCGATAAGCCCAAACATGCTTGTATTCAACTATCTGGTGCGGTTACATAATTATCTTGAAACTGATAAGCTACAAATACAATTTAATTTTATGCTTCTGAGTTCATACTCACCAGATGCCATGGACCTTGGGGTCAATCTACATGTTCTTTGACAAAACAACACTTACGCTGACATGTATTTTCATTATTAAATAAGGAACCATTAAATTGTTGCTTGGTGTTCACCATCCCTACCCTACCACTGTTGCCTTGATCCAATTGATGGCCAATATGGGCTTAGCAGTATAAGGTGGTGGTTTGGAGTTTGTCGCAGTGGTAAGTGGTTTGGTTTGGTGTTTGCTGAAAACCGTAACCCCTCTTCTTTTCATTTCAAAATTGAAAAAGCTGTATTTCTTTGCACAAATATATCCTGGATTTATTTAGGGGTATTATGATATTTTTCTCAACACCAACCAACCTGACCCCGGGGTAGGACAAATTTCAAAGTACATTACTATGTATGTATGTATGAAAAAAGGAACAGTGACTTAGGTAGGAGTAGGACAAACTAAAAAGTTGGTTGTTATCATATATATATATATATATATATATATATATATATATATATATATTACATGACTTTAGAAAGTACATACATGTTCATGTTGGTAGTTTTCTAAACGTATGACACGTACCTATGCAAATCTCAAAAATGGTCAGGGTAGAAAACCTGAGCTTTTCATGTTCAGTCAGTAGCATAAAATGGAATATTTGTGAAAGCATTTTATTGATGAAAAGGAAGGGAATTAGGGACATTTTATCCCTGTTGGATTTGTTTGCTTGTTATTGTGATAGTTTTTGGTTGCCTGCAGTAACATCTGTTTAATGAGTGTGTATATTTTAGGACTGTAAAGCAGAACATTGACTGATGATAATTTGCGTTGTTGTGCTGAGTGCTGTGCAGGGGTAGATTTCAAAGTAAAACATGTTACAATTGGGGGGAAGAAGTTAAAGCTTGCTATTTGGGATACCGGTAATATTTTATTATCAACTATATTAGAATGCCATTCATAGATTAATAAAGTTTAGCGTTGTTGATTTAAACTTGTATATTTTTATATATATATTATATATATTGTTTTCTGTCCTTTTAGTTACCCTACCTACCCCACTCGGTAAGTGGGTATTAGGAAGTGAAAGGTTTGTTATACTTATACTTAGATGGGTTGATTTCCATAGTATTAGTATGTGGTTTAGTAAAATAAGTACATGGCTTATATTATGAGGAAATTACTGAAATTGCGGGACAAACTGAAAATATGAGACAATTTGGACCTTTCCAAATGGATTCACACTTTTTTAAATAGTTGCGAAAATGATCGGATGGACAATAATGAACCAAGGCTGGGCTGGGCTGGGTGGGCTTTTAGATTATGTGGCTGGCGGCGCTAATATTAATTATGCTATCTTCGATGAGGGCTTTTGTTTTGTACATACAAAAGATCAAGATCAGAAGCAATTTTTCTTTTTCTGTCACCCTCCAAATCCAAAACCACTTCCTACAAACCGGCCTCAATCCACTACATATAAAACTATTATTTTCAGAATTCAGATTATCTTAAATCTTAAGATGTATTGTAGGTGGTTACCTTACCTGCTAGTTGCTGCAAACACAACACCTTTCCCAACTATTGATTCGATACCACCACTGGAGGAAGTTCTCTACGGACTAGTATTATTTGTTTTTGGGCTGAATGACAGTTGATCACCATTTTACCCTTCTATATGAAATATTTCTGTTTTGATAATGTATGTTCTAAATGACAGACTGACTGACACAGAATTATAAAATATGAAATGACATAGATTCTTAAATATTTGATATGCAAATGATAAATTCATGAAATAATTAAATCAAATACTGATATAGATTCTTAAATATTTTAATCCGAATTAGCAAATTCTGTTTTAGAAACTACCATTATAAAATTGCTAATACGTAGGACAGTCCAGACGATTTAGTAAATTCTAGGTTCAAGATCGTGACGTGAATTTGCTATGTAATCAGACTTTGGAAGTGTTCTAGAAAGCTGATATAATATTATGATTTATGAATGAAAAATATTTGATATAATGTTATAGATTCTTAAGCATTTGATATATATATATATATATATATATATATATATATATATATATATATATATATATATTAATAAATAAGAAATATTTGGATGTTGTAGCTTGTTATAGCTACTTTTCCTCTCAGATATATGTATGTGTAGTGTGTACCCACCCTGCTATCGAATTAACAGAGTCATCCCTTCATCCAACCGTGTTTCCCGTATTTATTTTCTGCTGCATCCAGCATTGGCATTGATGAACTCTTAGTGCTGCTAGAAAGGGTAATCCTGTTAGCAGGTGAAAGCTTGTCTATTCGATGGAATTCTGATATGCATACAAATGAGTTGCATCATTGCATGTAATATGCTCCTCTCAACAGACTACAATGTGGCTTTCCTCATGAAGTCGTAATAACTTTCTACAAATTTTCCCTTGTATGTTTTTTCCTCAATCATTTTCAAAAATATTGTGTTTGTGTGAACATAATTTATTCAGACAATATTGAATATTTTATCCACTGCAAAATAGGGACCTTAGTTCATATAAGAGACAAGACATGTGATTTCAATGTAGGAAAATGTTTTTTTTTTAGATGCTGACAAGTGCAGAGTGTTGTAACTTGTAAGTTGTTGATTGCAGCTGGGCAGGAGAGATTCAGAACCCTAACCAGTTCGTATTATAGAGGAGCCCAAGGAATTATAATGGGTATGCAATTGCAAAGCCTTCTTTTGTTTTTATTGCCTTTATTACATAACTTTCATTTCATGCTACATTGTTATGTTATATGATGAGTTCAACTTCCGCATCTGTTTAATTTTCTCTTCATGTTGATTGCCACAATCCAACTCCTAAAAATATCTTAATTAAACTGCCCATCATACTCATAGTCATCATATAAAAGTTAGGGGCTTAGGGCCAAATGCAAGAAATAGCATTTGTTATTACTTTATATTACAGTTTCTTTTTCTTATTAAGGCATTGTACTTTGAAAAACATAGCAATTATTTTTCTTATTTAATCATTGTAGTTGAAAAATCTATCCAATTATAGCAGTGAGAATTACTTGGTATTTGGATGGCATTGCTGCCTATAAGCTGTAGATTTTTTCAAGTAAAATGTCATAACAGGATGAAGTGAATGTAATAAACATAAAAATAGAAATACATTGCTGTTAGGGCTAAATGCTAGAAATAGTGACATACTTAATTCCTTTTTTCGTTTATTATATTTCATTTCTTTTCAAATATCTTCTTATTAAGACATTTAATTACTCAATTATAGCATTGTACTCACATTTTCTCTTATCCAGACATTGTACTTCAAAGATCTACCCAGTTGTAGCATTGTACTTCATTTTAAAGACATATTCACTGAAAAATCTATTAAATTATAGCACTGACGATTGCTTAGCATTTGGATGATATTGCTATAATTAGGTAAAATTTTCCAATTTCAATGATGTAAACTAACACGAGTAAATGGAAGTAGGATACTGTCATACTGAGATTATCAAAAAACATAGAAGTCGTTGCTATTTCTTGCACAAGTTAGGGCTAATTGCACAAAGTAGCGACATACTTCCATTTCTTTGTTTATTATAGCATTGTATGTGCATTTTTTTCTTCCTATTATTACAACATTGTACTTTCATTTTTCCTTATTACGACATTGTACTTTCTAAAGTCTATTCAATTATAGAATTCTACTTTATTTTTTTTAGTAAGACGCACTTTATAAAAATCCAACCAATTGTAGCATTGTACTTTCGAGTTTTTTGCTTCTTATGAAGACGTGCTTTGAAAAACCTATCATCCAGTTATAGGCTTATAGCAGTGAAAATTGCTTTGTATTTTGATGACATTGCTATAATTATTAATTAGGTAGTTTTTCAAAATTCAAAGTACAATGTTGTAGTAGGAAGAAATGAAAATAGGAAGTTTTAATAAACAAAACAATACAAGTACGTTGCTGTTCATTGCATTAGTTTGTTTTGTTTCTATTATTTAATTAGTTGATTTTTCCAAGTAGAGTGGTGTAAGTAAGTTCTGTTATCACGAGAATTTCTACTTAATATTTGTTTCTTGATTGATTAATATATACATATGATCTCATCATAAAAGCAAAACCAAATACTCTTACTCTTGTCTTCCTAATCCTTTGTGTAAAAGAAAGCTGTTGGTTATTTGTCAGTTTACGATGTAACCCGGAGAGATACGTTCACAGACTTATCTGATATATGGGCAAAAGAAATCGACCTCTACTCAACCAATCAAGATTGCATCAAGATGCTTGTAGGCAATAAAGTTGATAAGGTAACTAACTGCACTTGTATTTGTGTCCATTCAATTCTACTTAGACTCTATGAATTGGCTTTTTTTCTAGTATCAGTAAAAAAAAAAGTTAGCTAGAAAGGAAACAAGTTGTCCAAACCAAAGTGTATTCGAATCAATGCTTACCACCTACTAAATTGTTTTATTCAGAAAAACGGATTAGTAAAAGGGAAATCACTTTCATCTATTTAGCCAGTTAACTATTGTATGCAATGATTGAGCAATTATACTTTTCTTTTATTCCACTTTCGTGGTTTTTGAGTAAGGGGAAAATGCAAGAAAGGTTTTTCTCAAGTATATTGTTGGCGAACAAGTGTTTGTTTTTCTGTAGTTTCCACTTATATTATTATAATATATATATTTGTAATGGTATTGAATGAATACATTATATAATCTGTTTTGCAGGAACAAGATAGGGTTGTGACAAAGAAAGAAGGAATGGACTTTGCAAGGGAATATGGATGCCTTTTTATCGAATGTAGTGCAAAAACACGTGTCAATGTGGAGCAGTGTTTCGAGGAACTTGTTCTCAAGGTATTTATTTGATTGCACTTTTTCTTCTACTTGTTAATTTATGCAACAAAATGATATGAATGATTGATGTCTAGGACCAAAATATGCATCACCATTCTAATCTAATGACATGATGCTACCTTTTAAATTCTTATCTAAATATCTAACTTATCTATGCAACAATGTTCCATTTGTTTTACTAGTTTATGCAACATTTCATTTTTTTTCTGTTTTTAACCAATTTATGCAACTTGCAATTGGTTAAACAGTTGTCGCTTCTAGAATGAAACATGTTACTTGTCGTCTAATAACTAACTAGTGCTATTCTTTTTTACTATTATCATTAGTACTATTTTATTTTATTTATATAGCGTGGAGATTGCTTTGTATTTGGATTGGATGACATAGCTATGCTATGATTGGGTTAATTTTTCATGATACAATACTCTAATAGACAGAAATGGAAGTAGAATGCTATCATAAACAAATACATATATAGGAACATTGGTATTTGAGTATTATTATTATTATTATTATTATTATTATTATTATTATTATTATTATTGTTTGTATGGACGAAATGTGCAGATTTTGGATACGCCAAGTTTGACTGCTGAGGGGTCAACTACTGTGAAAAGAAACATATTTAATCAAAAGCCTCCATCAGCTTCAGATGCATCAGCTAGTGGATGCTGCTGAATTTGATGTGTTGTAACTTGAGGAATATGTATGTTATGTCATGTGGGATGGATGTTTGTTATTTCTGTCATGTTCTTTGAAATGACCCACCCTTGTATCTTTGGTTCAACTATGATCATCATATATTTATTATATGCTGAAATTGGCTGATAAAATCTATTGTAGACGTATGTTTCACCCATCATTTATATATATATATATATATATATATATATATATATATATATATATATATATATATATATATATATATATATATATATATATATAGAGAGAGAGAGAGAGAGAGAGAGAGAGAGAGAGAGAGGCAGGTTCTGTTGAAATTAAAAATAAAATAGAGATATTGAGATTCAACCTCAGTCATCTATTTCACATCTGTCGCTCTAACTCTTCGGTGTACAAGTAAAAATTGAAGAAAATACAAAAACCAATGAGTAAGTGCAGAAAAAATAACAAGTTTTAGACATGATAGCTCATATAAAATTCAATGCTTAGGTTGAATTGGAACTTAAGCATTGGAATCCAAGATTTCATTCTAACAGAATTGGAATTCGTGATTCCATTCTGGCAGAATTACCCTCATCATATTTGATACTAAGGCGATTTTGCTACTGCTACTAATTGAAGATTATTCCTTTGGTGCTTGATATTCATGAGGAAGATAAGAGATAAATTTTTCACCAATGTCTTTTTCAAATATCAAATGCTACAAGATAGAATATAAACATGATAAAGTAATTGTTTTATATGTTATCTGAAACTATTCTAAAATTCTATGTCCCTGAAGTCGGATGACTTCACCATCTGATTTTTTGATGTACTGGTAAAATTCAGGTTGAGCAAGTGAATCATTGACAGAAGACTTCACAATCTTTATATGATGGATCTCAAAAAATCAAGAATATAGTATCAAATGGGTAAATAAAATTAGGGAAAATCAAACACTTACATATAGTGTTAGAACAACTTCCATGACAAAGCCCCTGAATGCAGCTCCAATGGGTTCGCCGGTGGTTGAATAGATCGCAAGGAAGGGAGATCTAATCTCCGACGGGCTTCCCTTGGTTCACTATCTCCGTCTCCGTCAGCCACCAATCGTGGAAAGGAAAGGAACGGAGGCAACAGTGTTGCCGTCAAGTGGCAGCGAAGGCTGCTCCTTCTTCTATCCGACAACAATCACGCAGGGAGGGAAAGACTTCGGTCCTCTGTTGATCGGAGAAGAAAGAAACACAAAAACAGTCAAAAAATGGCCAGTGACTCTTAATCGATCGCAAGAAAGGGCTGCAATCGGCGGTGGGAAGTCGCTGATTTTCTTCTCTTTAGTGGTGATGTTCCAGGCAGGAAATGAAGGTGAAGGGTAGACATTAGGAGCGATCCTCAGTGGGGGGGTGGGGATGTCTCTTGGCGGCTTAAGCGAAGGTAACAACCTCCACATTTTGATTTCATCTTCCCGGTAGGTGAAAAAGAAGAAGCGTAGGAAATATAAGATAGAGAGAGAGAGAGACTAGGTCAAATACATTTACTTTATTTCCTTAATTGTAGGATTCCAATTAAATGTTTTCCTTAATTAAAAGTACAAAAGGTCCAAAATACCCGTTAATGATTTATTTAATTATTTATTATTTCTTGAATTCTCATTGGTGCATTTAGGCACACAATAATTGCTAGAAACATTTGAACCTAACTCTCTCTCTCTCTCTCTCTCTCTCTATATATATATATATATATATATATATATATATATATATATATATATATATATGGAATGTTGTATGTGAAAAACTGCCTAATCGTCCGATCTTCTCTAAATTCAATCCTGACCTCCCTAAGTAGCTATTTATGGTTATTCCTCATTCGACAAGACCTCCCACATGGCAGTCCTCCATCTCCCCGTGCTAGCTTCTTCCCCTTATTCCCCCAAATTTGTTCTCAACAACAATCACAATGAGCATTGGTAAAAAAAATCTTCCTCTCTCTCTCTCTCTCTCTCTCTCATCATAACCACATCATTTCTAAAATCTGAAATTAGGAAGACAGATTAAAAAAAGCCATCAATTCCATCATTGTTACCGGAAAAGATAGAGAAGGGACTAGAGGTGTGTTGCAGGTTAAGGGAGATGGAGAGTTTTTGTTATGAGATATCTTCTTAAACAATTTCTCTCAAGCATCAACAGATTCATCAAAATAGATCCACTGCAGAGCCTGGGGTAGCTCGTGCTACCATAAAATTTTGCCTCATAGTGTAATTTTTGCGTAATTTTTTTACATGTCGTGCTACCCCTGAAAAAATATTGGACTACACCTATAAATCCGAAAAGAAAGTATCACAAAATAATTAAACTTAAATTAAATACCCAATTATTTTAGTGAAAAAAGAAGGTAGATGTCACAACTAGCATTTTTAGCTAGGAAATTCTGTTTTCATGTAAACATCAACTCTTGTAAAACTTGTAATCTAAGTGGATATCATGTACTATGCTCATTCAAAATCATCCATTTGAATCAAAACTCCTGAGTGAAGTTCAAAACCTAATACAATGCATCTCAGATACTCAATTATGGGTTTGAAACCCTAATGTCCCGGTTCAAGCTCAGAATGGACCAAGATCCTCTTATTGGGCCTAATGGGCCAGTAAACTTATCATTTGATTATTTTGGTCCAAGGAACCCCATTTGGGCTCTAATTGGACCCACATTCATCAAACTATAGCATTTGGGTCATGTTGGGAAGCCCTATTGGGCCGTAAACCCCATTCCTTCATCATATTGGGCCGTAAACCCATAAGAAGAACCTAATGGGCCGAGAATCATCTTATTGGGCCTGTTATCTCGAAAATGTTCAATATTAGCCCAAGTTTTCCTTTTTGCTTTTACTTCTATCCCTCATTCTCGATATATATATATATATATATATATATATATATATATATATACATGTAAAAAAGAAAAGAAATAATATGGGAAATTTGTGGGGATGACACCTCACCATTGCATGATGAGTATCTATGCTTAATATCCCTCATGTATCCATGGAAACTCATGCATCTATGTAAGTCTTATCACCTTCTCTTCCCTCTCCTTCTTATTCTCGGCCAAGGACAAGAAACCACCATCACCTTCATTTTACTTCAAACTTATCTCCAATCCTCTCATTTCCATCAAAATCCTCAAAGGAAAAAATCCTCCTAATCTTCCCTAAAATCGTGTGGGTGTAAGGTGTGTTCAAAAGATCCTTTCATCCAAGATCACTTCAAGCTTAACTCTTGTGGTAAGACCTTGTAAACTTAAGTTGGTTTACTTCATTTTTAGCTAAATCACTCCTCATAAACACATGTTTTCGTGATTCTTGTTTCCTAGAACTTCCTAAGTTCGAAATCCACTCAAGAAAGCTTGCTAAAGGCCGATCTCATCCATCCTTCATCAAAAACCGAAAACTCCAAAGCAAAGTGAGTTCATACCCCCTATTTTCGGTTTTTACTAAGTTTTGGGGGAGAATACAAGTTGTTTTGTGTAGATATTTGTGTGTATGCATGCTTTTGTGTGTTTTTCATGATATATGTGTTATAAACTCCATGAACTTGAAGATATACTAAAAAGTGATGATATTGTAGAACATAACTCTTATTTCAACTTTTTATACAAAGAAAAGGTTTTAAAATACATCAAAGTTACTTAAAACTAAGAAATTTGCAATAAAGGGCCAAAAATGACAAAATAACCAAAAATAAAGTATTTCATGCAAACTCACGGTTTTAAAGGACCAAAAAGGGTATATTTTGGTAAATATTGATCTTAAAAAGGGCTAGGAGTGTAAAAGTTCATAAATGGGCTTCTTTTGGGCTTTTACGAAATTTTGGGCCAAGATTGTAATTTGTGGACTTTTGTGGGCTTAAATGTTATTTTCAACAAAGTTGTGCCAAAAATGTAAATTTTTGATAAGAAGAACCGAAAATGTGAATTTATTAACACTTGGACCAAAAAGATGAATTTATTCATAAATGGGCCAAAAATGCACGTTTTCATAAAACCAAGCCAAAAATGATATTTTTGACAAAAGGGAGTTAAAACCGTTATTTCTACTTAGAACTAGCCTTAAATTCAAATTTTGGCCTTAAAGGACCTAAAATGTCATTCTTACCAAAAATATGCCATAATTGTAAATTTTCGGTTTTTGGACCAAAAATGATCTTTTACAGAAAAAGTGGACTTTTTATGTCATTTTGGTAAACAACATAGCTTAAACAACCAAAGTAACAAACCACAGATCAATTTCGGTATTCTCATATCCTTATTGGGCTTGGAAATAATATACATGTTTAGTGGGCCTTAGTTGTCCTTTTGCATGTATATTGGGCCCCGGGATATACCTTCGCATCCTTATTGGGCCTAAATATAATATACATGTTTAGTGGACCTTAGTTGTCCTTTTACATGTGTATTGGGCCCGGAATATACATTTACATTCCTTTTGGGTCTGAAATAAATTTTACATCCTTAGCGGACCTTAGTTGTCCACTTACATGCTTATTGGGCCTGAAATGTTCCTTATATGTTTATTCGCGTAAATTCGATTAAAGATCTAGTGAGACGTTTCGTTTGGCACCAAATGAGTGTACAAACGTAGCCTGTAGTTATAACCAGAGTCTCCCGGAGAGAGAGTGTGAGTTTGTGTATAGATCTATACGGGGGTAACGCCCCACACCTGAGCTGTTCGCTACAGTTAGATTAGGTCAGTCTAGGGTGACAAACCGTACCTTAAACAAGTCGGCGTCTAATAGACGTCATGACAAGCGAAATTGTCATTATCAATGGTTATAAAGGCTCACTTAGAGGAATTAACGATGGTAAACTTACGGTAAACAACCTTTTATGGATAACACGGTAACCTATACACGTCAATACTCAATCTCAGGTGTTGAGATTTCCAACATTTTTTTTAGTTAGACAACATCGGGTTGTCTGGGTCATTCTCTTTATATTCTCACAAACAATTATTACACATGCATTAATACAAGATCTGACACAAACCTTTCAAACCGCTTTTCAGAAAATATCGGATTTTCTGGTGTTTACAAAGAAATAGAAAACATTTTACTCAAACATGGTTATGAACTCACCAACATTATATATGTTGACCTTTTAAATTAACTTGT